GGAGAGAAAATGTTTTGAGAAACGATGTACAAATGTGCTTTACACAATTGATGTGTGTATGGATTGGGATAACAGTTGTATGAGCCCCTAATAAAATGTTGAAATAAATAAATAATAAAAAATTTTAAAAAATAAAAAAAGAATGGGAAGGTCTAGGGGTATACATGCGACAAGATGGGCGGACCCTAGATTCATGATGGCAGCCTAATCTTGGCCATCCTTGGGTGGGTTTGACCTCTCCGGTGTCTCCTACAAGGAAACAGACAACTCTTTATCAGAAGGGAGTGGGCCCTACTTGTTGTGGGATAAACAGTGGTGTCTTCTTGGTCTAGACAGCTGATAACTCTCAGGGAGAATGACCTCCTAATCTACTCTTGATGACCTCCAAGTGTATAGTCATTCACAAGCAGCTAAGTCTGGCATCTATTTGGGGGAGACAACTTGAGAGAAATCCTTCTGTTTCCCACAATCTACTGGACTATACAGTCCTGTAAGAGTTTTTAATTCCATTTGGTGTAATTTTTTTAATTCCATTTTTTAACAAACCTCATATCTAAAATTAGATATTAAAATTGAGGTATTGTTAATAAACGTTCAGAAGTAAAAAGGACCATAAAGGAATACTATGCATAGCTGTACACTGTGGTAGTTATATAATTTCATGTCAGCTTCATAAACAGAGTAAAGCCTGACGGTCCCTCCTTGTGACATGGCCTTCTCATGAGGGAACACTCTCTCTCTTGAGTCTGCCATCAAAAGAGGCGGACTACTCTCTCTCTCTCTCTCTCTCTCTGCTTCACATTTCTGTTGACAAGCTACATGGAGCCACTGATGGCAGTCAGAGCCCTGGAGATGTGTCCACTGCCGTTGAATCCACAGAACTTCTCACCCACCAGCCTGTGATCCTCCTGCATTCAGCATTGTTGCACACACTGCATGAGTCTGAAGAGGAATTCATTGGACATATGGGCTAATATCGAACTTATGCACTTGATCTGGACTGGGCTGGGATGTTTTATTGATGTATAATTACTTCTTGATATAAAGCTCACTCACATATATGAGTGTCTCTAGATTTGTTTCTCTAGTCAACCCGAACTAACACATTACACCAACAAATTATTTACTAACTTTAATGAAACTAAGAAATTATTATAAACCCATAAATTACCTAAAGTGACTTACAAAGGAAAAAAAACTTCAATAGAAAAATACCAACTGGTCCATAACAAGCAGAAGTGAATAGATAGTCAAAAACTTCTAATGGGGCGGGGGAGGAGAGCGGTTGTTAAAAGAAAGCCCTGGATTAGTTGGCTTCACTGGAGAATTCTTTTTTTTTTTTTAATCATTTTATTGGGGGCTGTTATGGCTCTTATCACAATCCATACGTACATCCACTGTGTCAAGCACATTTGTACGTTTGTTGCCCTCATCATTTCCAAAACATTTTCTTTCTACTTGAACCCTTGGTATCAGCTCATTTTCCCCCTCCCCCACCTTCCCGCCCTTATGAACCTTTGATTATTTATAAAAAAAATAAAATTCGTGTCTTACACTGACTGATGTCTCCCTTCACCCATTTTTCTTTTGTAAGGCCCCCTGGGAGGGGGTTATATGTAGATCATTGTGCTCGGTTCCTTTTCTCTCCCTCCACCTTCCCCTTACCCTCCTGGTATCAACACTCTCACTATTGGTCCTGAGGGCTTTATCTGTCCTGGATTCCCTGTGTTTCCAGCTCTTATCTGTACCCCTGTACATGCTCTGGTCTAGCTGGATTTGTAAGGTAGAATTAGGGTCATGATAGTGGGGGGTAGGAAGTATTAAAGAACTAGAGGAAAGTTGTATATTTCGACGGTGCTATACTGTACCACAAAACATTTATTTTAAAATTAGCAACATCCTTAAACACTTCTAAAAATCAACAAGAAGAAAATAAAGATATCAATTCAAATAATGATTTAGTACCCAAACTATAAGCCCAAATAATAAGGAAAATGATAAAAACATATGACCTTTACCTTCAAGAAGTTAACAAGAAACCCAAACTGTTAGGTAGGCTGGCATAGGGCTGGGGGATGTCCGTTAACGCATGCCCAGAGGGCCAAGCTATGGAAACAAAGGAGTGGCGCACTGCACAAGCTCAGAGGTTCAGGTTTCCCACTGGTAGGCATGGGTGGGCGCTGAAACTGGATTGGCCCACCTAGGCCAGGTAAACTCAATTCAGCCAGTGGGGTGATCAGGGGTTGTCCACCACGCCTCCCCAAGGAATCCTTGAAAAGGCAGGAGCCCAGAGTTGAGAAACACTTTTGTGTGCCACCGAGCAGCTTCCAGGCAGGCTGCATGTTCGGGAGGAGTCCTATGGGTGCCACGTAAACCTGAAACTTCTTCTAACTCTCAGAAAACTAAAAAAAAAAAAAAAAAAACTCACTTGGATCACAAACCAGGCTTCGGCGTGAATTCTTTCTCGCGTGGAGCCAAGGACCAAGGTATAGATCTAGCTCCAGAGAAATCTAACAAAACTATATGGCTGAATGCTATGAATTATACAAATTATAGGTACTCAAAAGAAACATAACAAAAGTGATTAGCCTAAACCTAAAATAATGAAAATAATTACACAGTAAATTTCTACCAATATTTTTAAATGATTCACAAACATAACACTTACCTTCCTGCTTAAAATGGTAACATTTTCCAAGCAATAATACAGGGGAATTTCTACTAAAATACGTCTTTGTTTTCAACACCCAACCTAAAGGGAAAACATTTAAATTTTTTCAATTAAAAGATTTAGGGTTAAAATTCAAGCACTTTTTTTTTTCATTTTACACCATCAATTATCAATTATGGTGGTACTTATTTTATTAGAATTTTAAGGTACTAGACAATAAACTGAAAGCAAAGGATATTTGGATATTTTTGTTTTTTTCAAAAAAGGTATTTTAACCACTTTAATCATTTTAAAGAGCCAGAAACAGAAATATTTTTTAATGTGTTCTATTGTCAAACAGGATTCAATTTCCTGCCAACATGTCTTATGAGCAGCTACCACCATCATCGGTGGGGGCTTTCTATGCTACGGTACAAATTTCAGCAGAGACTTTAGACTAAGACACACTAGAAGAAAGACCTGACAGTCCCTTTGAGAATCAGCCCGTGAAAACTGTATGGGTCACCACGTTCTGATCTACAACAGACCATGGAGACGGTGTAAGACTCGGCAGCGTTTCATTTAGTTGTGGATAGGGTTGCCAGAACTCAGGCAACGTGATGATAGCTAATAGCAACATATTCAACGCATAATTGGTCTCATGATAAGCCACAGGGACACTACTTTTTAGGTGCTGAAAGTTTAGTAGGACGAAAATCGGAAGAATTAAGTATTAGCCATTGAAATTGGTGATTGGCGGCTGGGAGGTGGGAAATTAAGATGGACTGTTCTATATACCACTTTCAAAAAACTTCCTGGGTTATAAAAGATTTCTCCAGAAACCGACAGAGATGTACTTTTATCATTATACTGTGAGATTAATTCCCTAAATCACTTCACTCAAATATTCCAAGTACTTTAAACCTCCTTGTAATTTTTAGGTTAAGCTGGAAGGAAACAGTAAATTTACTAAAATTTTTTGTCACTGGAGAAGAGCTTGGTGTCAGGGAAGCCGGGGGAAGTGAGACTTGTGTCTTTTGAATATTGTGCCATAAGAACATTATGTTAGCTGGACACTGAATCCATTCTTTCTGGGAACTACCATTGTCCTCCCTGGAATATACTGCCCTCAAGTATTAGTCTGACTCATCACATCCCTCAAGGGCAGAGTATCGATGCCCCAAACGATTTCCAAGGCTATAAATCTTTGTGGAAGCAGACTGCCACATCGTTCTCCAACAGAGTGGTTGGTGGGTGCAAACGCCGACCTTTCAGTTAGCAGCCAAGCGCTTAATCACTGCACCACCAGTGCTCCTACTCTGAATATAAAAACTCTCACTGCTATCGATTAAATTCCACTGACAGCAACTGTATAGGGCAGACTAGAACTGCCCCTGTGCATCTCTGAGACTGTAACTCTTTATCTTATCTTTCTTTGAACCTACCAATCGCTTGGCAGGAGAAAAATATGGCAAGTTGTTGCTCTCATAAAAATTTAAGTTTTACAAACCCAAAGAGCAGTTCTACTCTGTCCTGTAGGGTCTCTGTCGGAATCAGCTAAATGGCAGTGGGGGAAAAATGTCTCATGACCTCCTCAGGCTTGGCAAAGTAGCAAGTCAGCAGAAATGAAGGGGACCTTCAGGGATAGGGATAAGCACAGCAACTGCACCAACGGGCTCAAATAGAAGAATGGTGCAGGACTGGGCAAGGTTTCGTTCTCTTCTACATGGGGTCCCTATGAACGGGAACCTACTCAACAGCACTTAACAACAACAACATCTTAACTAACAGGGATCCCTGGTGGTGCTTTGGATTAGGCATTGGGTTCATAACCACAGGTCAGCAGTTCAAGTATATAAAGGGTCCCTAGAGTCAGAATCAACTCAGTGGCAGGGGGTTTGGTTTGGGGCACATTTTTTGGTCCTGAGTAACATAGTCTCCCTAGAGCCCTGGCAGTGTAGTGAGTTATGCATTGGGCTGCTAACCTCAAGGTCAGCTGTTCAAAACCATCAGCTACTCCGCAGGAGATAAGGCTTTCTATGCCTCTAAAGAGTTAGAGTCTCAGAAAAAAATAATAATAAAAGATGAAAAGGAAGTTTTCCTAAACCAACCCTAAAAAAACAAATAAAAACACAAACTCACTGCCCCTGAGCCCATTCTGACTCATAGTGACCCTGTAAGGGCAGAGTAGAAGTGCCCCTGTGGGTTTCTGACACTAACTCATTACCAGAGTAGAAAGTCTTGTCTTTCTCTCGCAGAACAGTTTCAAACCTTGCTCGTTGCCTCCTCATATCAGAAGAATCAAGACCCAGTCATTTCCCTCTTCTTTTCACAGGCACGACTGAGCTGAAGCACACCAACAGGCCAAATAACAAAACAATAAAGTACCCTCTTCCTTTGAATTGTTTAGTTCTACTTGACCAGCTCTTTTACAAAAGGATTATTACAACATGCACCACTTGGTTCTGCCCAATTTACTGATGGGAACCAGAAAACCATGAGAAGAAGGGGGCAAAAATGTATACAAAACCACAGAGCCATGAGGCAGCAGAGGTTAGGGTATAGGCAAGAGTCATGAATAAATTTTCTCACAAATATGCTCCCTTTATATATTTCTTGAAAAACATATTCATAATACTTCTCCATATTCAAGAGCGTATTTTTATTCCGTCCTTCAATCTCCTCTTCACCTCCCAATCTCTAATTAAAGTAGCAGGGAGAATGAAAAAAACGACAAATTAAATGTTAAGATTTCTAAATGAAAATGAATTTAAACAGTTTGAGATATACAAGCATATTTGACAAACTGAACATCTGGCAGAATGACTAGTCAACAGATTATCTCAGAACAGTGAATGTCTATGAGGGATAGGAACTGATCAGAAGGAAGCATGAAGAAACTTTGAGGTAATGCCTACATATTGCCTGGGTTGCTACTTTTATGGATGTATGTGTCAGAACATTTCAAATTATACAATTACTATCAGTTCATTTCACTGTACGTACTGTACTTTAAAAATTTTTTTTAACTAGAGATAATTTCAGTTACTCCTGTTTAACAAACCATCCCAAAATTTATTAATTTGAAACAACTTTTAGTTTTTTTTCACATAGCTCTGAGCATTAACTAGACTCAATTAGGTAGTTCTTCTGGTTTGGCTTAGAATCTCTAACGTGGGCACTGGTTCGGCTGGGCCCTTCTGTCTTAGTAGTCCCAGGCCCTTCCAGTTGCTGTGGCCTCTCCTTCTGGCTTCTCCATCAACGTATCTGAAATGGCTGGTCATGACAGTTTAGACCTCCAAAACAAAGCAAGCAGAATCTGCCTAAAGCTGACACATCTTTTTAAATTTTTTTTATTAAAAGACCATTTTACTGGGGGCTCTTACAGCTCTTATTAACAATCCAAATGTTAATTGTATCAAGCATATCTGTACATGTGCTGTCATCCATGTTCTAAACATTTACTTCCTATTGAGCCCTAGGTATCAGTTTCTCTTTTTCCCCTCCCCCCCAACCCTTGCGACCCCTTGATAAATTATAAATTATTATTATTTTCATATCTTACACAGACCACTGTCTCCCTTCCCCCTCAGTTTCCGTTGTTCATCCCAAGTGGGGGCAGGGGGGGCAGCGGGGGCTTATTATATCGATCATTGCAATCGCTTCCCCTTACTCCCCACCTCCCTTCCCCCTACACTACTGGTATCACTACTCCCATTCCTGATCCTGGATTCCACGTGTCATGAGCTGTTATCTCTCATTTGAACCTATGCACATGCTCCTGTCTAGCCTGCATTGAAAGGTGGGACTGGGGTGATGAAAGTAGGGGGTGAGGAAGCCTCAAGGAACCACAACATCATTCCTGTCTGTGCTACTGGTTAATGAGAAACACAGGGCAGCCCATCTCAATGGGAGAAGAGATGATAGAGGGGGCCATCTCTGAAGACCAGCTACCATATACTGAATCTTACAAAATTCTATCTGCCAGAGAATCTTAGAAATAAATAATAGCTTATAAGTGGGAATTTGAAAATCACAAATTAGGCTTTTTAAAATGCTAGCAAACAAAAGAGAACAGAAACAATAAGTACGATCATTATTTTCTGAAGGATCAGAAATACCCGGAAGGAGTGTTTCCATAGTAATTTTTTCAAAGTAAATCAAGTGTATACACCTCACAGTCATGCCAAAAAAAAACAAGAATGAAAGACTTCTTCAGGAAAGTAAGGCCCAGTATCTTTCAACTGTTAAGTGTTTTGACATCCTCAGATGCATCTTCAGCATGTCATCCTCACAGAAAAATCGTATTCAAAGGGAACCTGGAGAAATTGTCACTGATGTAATACGGGTGATGATACATGTTCAAAGATTTTTTTTTTCTACTTTATTCAATTTTAAAATTATGATACTTACTATACTTCATGTTGTTCCAAGCAGATATAAATTTTGTTTTCAGCTTGTCCACTTCATCTGTTCCTGTAGCCTCCATATTCAAATTCTAAGGAAAAAGCCATCACTTGGTTGCATTTTTCTCTAGCGATTAACCTTTTGTATTGACTGAAAGAAAGGGGAAAATCATTTAAGTAATGAGTATATATTACATGGTGCTATACACCCTCAGTCAAGTACGCATTGAATTGCTGCCCTCCAGGTTGGCAGAGCACCCCCACCAGTCCCTCTGGGAGAACGCTGAGGCTGTCTGCTCCCATACAGACAGACAGCCTTGGAAGCTTATAGACAGTCACTAGTGTCAGAACAGACGCAATGGCAGTAAGTTTTGGGGGCTTCCTTCCTGCTACTGAAAGCACCATGGACTCCAGAAGAACAAACAGGTCTGTCATGGAAGAAGTACAGCACAATGCTTCTTAAAAGCAAGGAAGGCAAGACTTCTTCTCATGTACTTTGGTCAAGTCATCGGGAGAGACCAGTCCTTGGAGAAGGACATCATGCTTGGCAGCAAAAAAGAGGGAAGCTTTCTACGAGATGGACTCACACACACATAGAAAAAGCTGGAATGGCACAGTGGCTGCAGTCATGGGATCAAACACAAGGGCAACAGCAGGCAGTGTCTCATTCTGTTGTACATGGGGTCTCGAGGGCACCCAACCACAACAACTTGCTACAGGGACTTAGGTGATTAGATACAATTAGAATTAGAGATGAGCAAACTAATTCTCATTTTATTGAACAAGATAGGTTCTACAAACAATTATTAAAAAGATTCAATATCATATATATAACAATAACTTTATCCCCAAAACCAAATAATTTCCCCAGGTGGTCACAACTCATAAAATAAATCAATTTAGAAACACAGTTAACTATGAGGTCCTTTGAGAATATCCAAGATTTTAGTTGTAATTAGACAAAGTTCTTTGAAATCTTATTTGTAAATGTTATCTTTAGAATAGAGGCTTTCACTTACATTGATGAGATTACTGCTATCAAATTATCTAAATTATTTTGTCTTTAAAAATTGTAAGTATTGAGTAGTGATACAGGAGGGGAAGGAGTAGGTTGGGTAGAAAGGGGAAACTGATCACAAAGATTTACATATAACTCCCTCCCTAGGGGATGGACAACAGAAAAGTGGATGAAGGGAGACATCGGACAGTATAAGGCATGACAAAATAGTAATAATTTATAGATTATCAAGGGTTCGGGAGGGGGTGCAGGGAGGAAGGGGAAAAAGTGAGGAACTGATACCAAGGGCTCAAGTAGAAAGTAAATATTTTGAGAATGATGATGGCAACATATGTACAAATGTGCTTGACACGATGGATGGATGTATGGATTGTGATGAGTTGTACGAGCCCCCAATAAAATGATTTTTTTTAAAAAGAATGACAAAACAGTGATAAATTTTTAAAGCTGTGGGGAGCCCATGGGGACCCAATATGCTTTTCTAGTTTTTGAATATATTTAAATGCCCATGATAAAGTTTAAATCAAAATATGGGGGTGGATGGATGGAAGGATGGAAGGATGGATGGAAGGATGCTAGAGAGCAGGATTACGTCATTGTTATTTCAACAATAGCATTGTGTGAGTCAATGTCACTAGATAGCATACTCTTTTAAATTTCCAAACACACTTTCATTTTAATTTATATTTAACATTAAAAACAGAAAGTGAAGTAATCACTGAGCTTTGAGCAGTCATCATTGGTACCACCCTCTACCCCTGCCACTGTGAGGAGCCCTGGAAGATTACATAGCTGCTACCTCTCAAGGTCAGCAGTTTGAGACAGCCAGTCATTCTGCAGGGAAAGATTCGGTTCTCTAGTCCTCTGAAAATGTACAGTCTCGGAAGCCCTAAGGGGCAGCGTTACTCTGTCCTACAAGTCACTGTGAATCAGAATCTTATCCCCAGCCACCACCCAAACAACAAGGAAGATACATGGATGAAGAACAGAGGTAGAAAGGAAGAGCTGACCTCCAGGTGCGGGGAGGAGAGACTGAGGGTGCTTCGGGGGACACTAGGTGGAGAGTGTCTTTGGTAGTGTGCAGCAGGTGGGCAACATTGAACTTGGGCATCTGGGGTATCTCAGGAGCCAGGCTGGCTGCCGTGGAATGCTGGGCCACCAGAATCCTGGATCTTCGGGGAGCACAGCATGCTCCAGAAGCTGTGTCAGTGAGACCCCACATGGGGACGTCGCTGGGTGAACTGAGCTCTACCTCAGACACGTTTGTAACCTGAAGACTTAAGTTGGAAAAATACACGGTGTCTGAGGAAGCAGAAGACAGCTGAACCAAGAGTGCTATATTGTTGGTTGGCAGACAGACAGACAGACAAGGTCTTGCTACATCAATGCCCTGTACGCTGTATTAAGATACATATTATTCTGGCAATCCTGTGAGGGACATTCTGTTTTGTTTTTGTTTATGCTTGTTCCTATTAGGGTGTATCTCCGAGGTGCCATGCCATTGGGGTCACCCTCTTAAAGTTGTGTTATTTGTTTTTCTGTTCTTCGATAAATGAAACCCAGAATGAACCTATAGGGACAGCAAGTAGAACAAGGGTTTTGGGGGTGCAGATGGTATAGTGGAGGGTAGGGGGTGGAAAAGGGAGACGCTATCAAGGAGTCCATGTAGAAAAAGAATGGAAACTGGGGTAGCAATTGTACAATTCCACTTGACATGGCTTAACTATGGAATGATATATGTATTCAATCCCAATTAAAAAGAAAAAAAAAAAAAAGAACAGAGGTATAAAGGGAGC